AGGAGATCATTTCCATGTTAAAAATAGTAGAGAATGTAACAACAATTAGAATATTCAGTTGTCATTTCAGGGTAGTAATAGCTCTAGAAGTACTATTGCATGGCCTAAAGGACATAGCATTGGGTAAGAAAATACAGGCATTAGGGATAACTGGATCATTATGGAAACTCACCTTTATAAGGATGGAAAGAGAGAATATAAATTAGAATAGACAGCAGGGCAAGTTAAAAAGAGAAAAATACATATTATACATACACACACACACACACACACACACACACACTCAATCCTCTTTCAAATTTCCCTATTTTTTTGAGGGCACTACCATTCTCCCAATCATTTAATGTGGTGACCACCTTTGTGTCATCCCTGACTCTTTAACACAACCTGTGAGTAGTCTGAGCTGCCTAAATGGGGACCCAGCTGGCCATTTCCAGTTGAGTAACTGAGCTTGTTCTCTCCTCTCTTCCCCTCCCCTCCTTTCTCTTCTCCCGTTATCTGAGGGTGTTCTGCCCAAAGGTAGGTAAATTTGGATGGCCAAAATCTGCCTAGTTAACTTGGGTTTTACTGGCTGGATTTCTTTCTCAAACACCAAGCCTTAATCAATTCACTGTGGAGCTCATAGACAGGATAATAGGTCCCTGTTCAAGCACCACCTGATAGTTGTTTTTGAGGTCCTCCTGGCTCAGAGTGAATGTAAATAGTAACTGTTTCTCTTTTGACTGGCAACCCTGAGGGTCTTCCCTTCCCAGTTTGATTTTTTTTTCTTTTTTGATTAAAAAGGCCATCCCTTGACTCACTTCTTAAAGAGGCCTATTCACTGAATGGGTGTTGCCTGACAAAGTGAGAACCTGAAAAGACCTTAGCTTAAAAGGGCCAGGGTCCCCCATTGCATCCTGAACCATCTCCAGTTGTCCTGATGAATATCTGGCCACTGCACCCAGATGGCTCTGGAGAAGAAAGTGAGGCTGGTGAGCTTGCACAATCCTCCTTCACTCAAATCAATGTCAATTGCAAGTCACCTCATCAACTCCTGGATATCATGATCCTCTTCAAGAATGAAGGACAAACACAACAACAACAACAACAACACAACAGCAACTTTCATTTATCCCACCTATCCAACTGGTTGCCAAATAATGTTTCCATCTCCACATCATCTCTCTCTTGGGTTCCCATCTCTCCACTAGCACAGCTATGACTTTAGTTCAGGCTCTCCTCCCTTCTTGCCTCTTCTAGCTCAATAGTCTCAACTCTGTTCCCCTTTAATCAGCCATCCACATAGCTGACAAAAAGTTACTTTCCTAATTTTGTTACCTTTCTACTCAATACACTCCAGTGGTACCCTATTACTTCTAGGATTTAATAAAAACTGTGTTAGTCATTTAAAGCTCTTTACAATCTGATCCATTCCTACATTTCTGGTCTTAGGAATACTCCTCTCTCAAACTTTATGATTCAGGTAAAGGGGACTATGTGTTTTTTTCACACGTTTATCTTTCTCATCTCCATGTCTTTTTACATGGTTTGTCTCCACCCACAATCTCACCGCATTCCTTTTTTTCCCATGCTTTTGAAATCCTTGGTTTCCTTCAAGACAACTCAAATATGACCATCTACAAAATCTATAGAAGCCTTTTCTGTTCTTTCCCACCCTGTTTCTGACAGGTGTTATTCCCTTCGCTCCCATCAAGTACCTTGAAATAATTTTGCATACATTTTATATGTATTTAATATACATAGATGTTTTCTTTACCTCAAATTACTTGATGACAGACACTTCGTCACTTTTGTCTTTGCATTCCTAGCACTTAGCCAAGAGCCTCATTAATAGTAGATATTTAATAAATGCTTATGGACTCTTAATACACACAAACACATACATTTATTGTTCATTTTACCTTGTTTTCTCTATTTTAAAATGTTATGCATGTATATATAACACATGCACATATACAAATACATTTATATTTACACATATATACATACATAGATATATACATTTTAAGGTAAAGGAAATATTAGTAAAACAAAATAACAAATAAATGAGAGAGTCATCCAACAGGTGAATGGTCTATTTTAAGAGGTAAGGGGTTCCTCCTCATTGGCAGTCTTGTTGTTTCATCATGTCTGACTCTTCATGACCACATTTGGGATTTTCTTGGCAAAGATATTGGGGTGGTTTGCCATTTCCAACTCATTTTACAGATGAGGATACTGAGGTAAACCAGGTTAAGTGAGTTGCCCAGGGTCACAGCTAGTGTCTGAGTCCAGATTTGAACTCAGGGAGATGAGTGTTGCTGATTCGAAGCCCAGGGCTCTATCTACCGAGCCACCTAGCTTCCCCAAACGGTATATAACCAAATATCAGAGATAAAAGAGTTCTTTGTCTAGTTGACCTTATCAAATGGTAAGAAGTATGATTACAACCCTTGCGTTTCAAAACACAAGTAGGAGTGTTCATTTTAGAGAGAAGAAAGATTGGGATAGTTTAAGGGAATGATGCCAGGATAATTATATGTTAGGGTGAAGGCAGGGAATTGGTAAATTAAGGGCATAGTTTAGAAAAGCCACTGTGATGATGAGTCAGGTTATTGGTAAATGATAACTAATAAGTAATAATTTGAACCTGAAATATTTGGCTACATTACAATATTTCAAAGGAGCCCCTAACTAATACATGACTTTTATATTTTGACCTCAGCTGTCTAATACACTCCCCTTGGTCCATAATGGAATAAGCATTTATATGGTACCTACTATGCCCAAGGCGCTGTGCTAAGCAGTCTTTACAAATACCTCATTTGGTCCTTGCAACAACTCTGGGAGGTAGATGCCATTATCACTCCCATTTTACAACTGAGGAAACAGAGCAAATAAAGATTAAGTGACTTGCCTAGGGTCCCACAGCTGATGCAGGATATGAACTCAGATATTCCTGACTCCAAGCCCAGCATGCTACCCAACGTGCCATGAGCTGCTTCTTTCTATAAGGCTTCCAAGGCGTTAAGGAATCTGGGCAATAGGGGCAGAGTAGAAGTGAAGGCCTTGCCAGGCCTATTTGGTGGCACTAAGTTAGGCCATAGTTTACAACAGGTGGTCTTATTGTGATCTGTGAACTTTTTTTTAAAACGTATTTTGATAACTATATTTCAATATTTTTTGTTTCCTTTGTAATTCTATGTATTTTATTTTATGCATTTAAAACCTATATTCTGAGAAGGGCAACACAAGCTTGACTAGTTTGCCAAAGGGGTCCATGAAACAAAAAAAGGTTAAGAACCCTTGGTTTAGGAAAAAAATGTAGCAGCTTTATCCCTCTAGATTTGTTGCCCATGGCAAATGCCTACTATGTCTACGCTTAAGGCTGCCCCCAGGTCTGAAAAGACTAGGGAATTAGGAATTATTTTCAATCCCCAGTTCTGCCACTTACTTATTTTGTGATCCTGGAAATTTAACTGCTTGGTATTCCAGATTCTTGTTAATTGGATCATCATTTCCTGACTGCAGTTCTGTGTGATTCAATGATGATTTTAAAGTACCTGAAAGATATAAACATCACATAGGTAGAAATCTAATTGAAGTCAAGGTGGATGTTAATCTTGGTTATAGGATCTAGTTCTTAATGGCGTTGGCACTATTTGGCACCCATCCCAACTTACATCCACAAATATATGTTTTAGCTGTGTCAGCTATACTGCAGTGGTTATTATTATCTAGAGTGGAATGTTATTTCTGATTGGATTTTTAGAAAAAGGAGAGGTCAAGAATAATACTTTGTGGTTAAGATTGATGGTTTACTTGGATTCATTCTTCCTTACTGCTGTTGTTACATTATGTAAATAAAACTGCCCTTATCCCCCCAATGCTGTTGAGCAGTGGATTTAATTAGATTTGGAATTGGGGAAGGGCACAGAAGCTTATCAATTTTAAAGAAATTAAAAATGGCTTCTAACAACTTAGAACTATAAAGCATTATGTTCAGTTTAAAGTTGAGAAATTAAAATGAGCTCTAATCAACCACTTTTTTTATTAATTGAGATTCTATTCGCATTAAGTGCAACTTTATCTCCTATATGGAATTAGCAAGCAAGTCAACAGGCTGCAGTGGTATGAATTTGACCAAAGAAAAGATCTTTACTTAGCAGAGCAAACAAATTTCTAAGCGGAATAAGGCGATGACTCCTGACCATTCATTATCTGGAATAATTTAGAATAGTCTTTTGCATTCAGGGCTGGTGCTGCTCAAGGTAAGAAGGGGAAGAAGCTTTCTTTCTCAAGAGTGGTACTATGCGGGGTTCCTGTCCCTGGAGCTCTGGCCCTTCAAAATAACCAGCACAGCCTAGGTGGGTCTTTCTTTGATTCCAGTATGGCTTGCTCAGAGTTCTTCAGGGTCTCACTCCACTGTTGGGGCATCCCGGTGAACTTGTTGGTAACAGCATCGAAGTCAACGTGGACAGTATGCTGGAAAGCGGATGGGGAAGAAATTACTGGCTTCTCCTTTCCTTTCTTCTTACTTCCTTTCTCTGTGCCCCAGAACACGGAGAGGATTTTATTCTTGGCCCTTTTCTCCTCTAGATCAGAGGATGGAAGCTTCGAACTACAATTGGGCAATAAAGGGTCTTTGTCTCCTGTGCTAAAAACTAGGCTGTTCTCTGGGGGGCCGGTTTGCAGCTCCCCTTCATCAGACATGATTGCGAAGGATTATCCAAAAGCCCCCAGTCCTTGAAAGGGTCTGAGACCCTGGGTGCTGTTTGGGTCCAGCTCCAGGGCTTCCCCGGAGAATGGACGTGGCCAAGACAGCGGAGGAAAGGGAACTGGCTGGCCGAAGGAACGGCAGCTCCGGAAAATCACTCCCTGCAGGTAAACTAAGATATCCAGAGCTCTTCAGGAAGCTGCGGGTACAATAAACCTCAGCCAATGGGGAAGTGGCACAACGGCCACAGAACGTGGCAAGGAGGGTGGGGGAGGGGACGTCCAGCTACTGAGGGGATGGAATGGAGGCAGGGTCAACAGTAAACCTCCCAGAAGCCTTACATCCAAGAATCATGTCATAACAACCTGGAGGTGGCCTTAGCGTCTTTAAGGCTATTCCTGTGAACCAAAAATTCTGGTGAGGAAGAGGCTGAAAGTATGTATGCTCCCAGTGAAAAATTTAGGTCTGCCTTCTGAGGACCAACCTACTTGAGTAATCAGAGGTTTTTCACCAAAATGTTAACCATTTATTGCATTTTTTTGGCCATGGCACTCCCATGAAATAGAAAAAAATATTTTAAATGGCCTGCGCTTCTGCAGGGACAATTTTAGACCAGCTGAAAGCAAAATAGCTGTTAATGCTCTAAATGTAGCATCTTTGTCCAGCGACCCAAACGGCACAAGGAAAAGCGTGCTAGTTTTAGATCAAGACCTGGTATTGAATACGAACTTTTCCACCAGCTAGCAGAGTGACCTTGGCTAGTCGTTTAACCTCTCCAAACCTCAGTTTCCTCGTCTTTAAAATGGCTATAGATATGATTAGCCTAGATGTCCTCTAAGATTCCGTACATCTCTAGATATGTTTTCTGTGCCCAAAAATGTTAAAAGAGGTCTCAAATCATATACATAGAAAGATTCTTACTATAAAAGAAACTAAAATGTATTGCACTTAAATTAAAAGTAGCCCATACATTTTCTCTAAGAGACTCATTCTAGGCCTTCAGAAAAAGACTGCTGTTAAAATAATTGCAATTTGTGTAACAGCTATTAACAAAGGATGGTGAAATAAACAAATTGTATAAAGAATTCGATGAAGCCTTCTAAATTAAATCACCATAAATGTTAATACCCAGTGACTTCACTGCAAAATGGACATAGTCTTCAATAATGAAAATTATGTTGGAAAATATGGGTCAAGAATGAAAAACAGAAGAGACCAAAAGCTTGCAGATCATATATGAACTTCACAATTATATATGATGAATAATTCATGAGAAAAAATTTCAGGCATATAAAAAACACACAAAAGTGATATTGACTATATTTTAATAGACAAGAATTGATTACTTATGTGGTAATAATTTCCAAATATGAATACATTCATATACTCCATTGACTTGCTAGAATGAAGGAAGAAATGAATGTACTAAACTACAAGAATAAAAATGAGAAGAAAATGTGACATGTAATTGAGGCAACTCCAATCTGACCTTTAATAAAGTATCATGGTATAGGAGGAAAAAAATAGATTTGAAACAAGAGAATCACAGTTCTAATTTCAACTCTGCTACTTATTATTTTTATGACACTGGGCAAATACTTTTCTGGGCCTCAGTTAACTCATGTGCAAAATGAGTGGATGGATGTGATGGTCTCTGAAGACCATTCCAGTTCCAAATATATAATCTTATGATGCCATTTTCCTATTTAAAGGAGCTTTTGATGTTTAGAAAATTGGAAATGGATACAAGAGCAGATATCCAAACAGAATGTGACCATTTTTTAAAGAAATTTAACTGATGCTAACTCATCACCACATTGAGGAAACTAAAAGAGACACATTTAGGGTGGCAAATTTTTTTTTGTTTAGTATTTTATTTTCCCCTAATTACAGTAAAAAAAACCCATTTGTTTTTAAAACTTTGAGTTCCAAATTCTCTCCCTTTCTCCCTCCCCACCCCCTCACTGAGAAGGCAAACAATTCAATATAGGTAATACATGAGTAGTCATGCAAAACATTTCCATATTAGTCATGTTGTGAAAAAAACATGGAAAAAAAAACTCAAGAAAAATAGTTTAAAGAAGCATGTTTTGATCTGTATTCAGACACCATCAGTTCTTTCTGTTGTGGTGGATAGCATTTTTCATCATAAGTCCACCAGAGTTTTCTTGGATCATTGTATTGCTGAGAATAGCTAAGTCATTCACAGCTGATCATCTTACAATATTGTTGTTACTTTGTACACAGTGCATGTCACTTTCCATCAGCTTCTATAAATCTTACTAGGTTTTTCTGAGTGCACCCTGTTCATCATTTCTTACAGTATAATAATATCCCATCACAATCACATACCACGGTTTTTTCAGCCATTCCCAAATTGATGGGCATCCTCTCAATTTCCAATTATTTGCCACCAGAAAAGAGCTGCTATCAATATTTTTGTACATATAGGTCCTTTTCCTTTTTTAAAAAATCTCTTTGGTTACAGACCTAGCCATAGTACTTCTAGGGTATGCATGGTTTTATAGCCCATTGGGCATAGTCCCAAATTTCTCTACAGAGTGGTTGAATCAGGTCACAATTCCACTAACACTGTATTTATGTCTCATTTTTCCCACATCTCTTCCTTCCAACATTTGTCATTTTCTTTTTCTGTCCTATTAGCCAATCTAATAAGTATGAGGAAATACCTCAGAATTGTTTTAATTTGCATTTCTCTAATCAATACTGATTTAGAGCATTTTTTTCACATGACTATGGATAATTTTGATTACTTCATCTGAAAATTGTTCATATGTTTTGATCACTTATCATTTGGGGAATGGCTCTTATTTTTATAAATTTGATTCAGTTCTCTATATGTTTGAAAAATGAGGCCTTTATCAGAGAAACTTGCTTTGATTTTTTTTCTCAGTTAAGATTGCTAACTGTATTTCCCTCCCTTCTATTTCTCCTCTGTTTATTTTATTCTCTTTCCTTTCACATTGTCCTTCCTCAGAAGTGTTTGGTTTCTGACTATCTCTTTCCTCAATCTGCCTTCCCTTCTATCACCCCTCCTTCTCTTATTCCCTTCCCCTCCCACTTCCCTGCAGGGTAAGATAGATTTCTATACCCAGTTGGAGTGTGTATGTTATTTTCCCTTTGAGCCCTTCTGATGAGAGAAAGTTTCACTCATCTCTCTCTTACTTCCCCCATTTTCCCTTTCATTGTAAAAGCTTCTTCTTGTCTCTTTTATCTGAGATAATTTGCTGAGTTCAAATCTGGCTTCAGCCACTTACTAGCTGTGCGATCCTAAGCAAGTCACTTCATACTGTTTGCCTCAATTTTTCACCTGTAAAATGAGCTAGGGAAGGAAATGGCAAATCACTCCAGTATCTGTACCAAGAAAATACTGTCTGGGGGTCACAGAATGTTGGACACAAGTGAAAATTACTTAACACCAAAATATAGAGTGAAAGAGATTCCTGTTGAGGTACTTAAAGTATGAAGTAGTTTATAGATCTTTGGAGAGATGGGTTCACAAGAGAGGGAAAGAAAGTAGAAAGATCAAGTGAGAACTTTGTGTTTTGTTTTACATGTGTTTTCTTTCAAGTAAATTAAGCCTATTCTGTATTTGGTATATTATTTGATTGAATACTTGCACGAGAGATGAAGATCCATTTACCTTTTATGGGGGGTTGGCTATAGGTCAAATTTTGTTGTTCCAAGAGAAGACCTTTAGTAGAAGCAAAATGAGCCAGAATGATTTATAAAAATGCACTAATCTCCTCCCCGTACACATACCCCAGGACAAATCTAGTCAATGTTAACTTAGAGTTTTGATTTGGGGCTGCTAACTGGACAAGAGATATTATGGCATTTAGATCATGGAAATTTTGGCTTAATCAATGTTTCTGTATATGCCTAATAAAACAGAATACTTGATAAAGTAATTAACTTTATAAATAATATTATGCATTAATGCCATAGAGGCATTGTAATCTATTGTCAGTTACCACAAGCTAGGAATTCTGATTTAGTAAATGAGATACTTCTCTGCATAAAAAGAATGACTACCTCTGTTGTTTGTCCTGAAATGAACCAAAGTTAACTGTTCCCCTATGTTGTTATATTTTCTGGATTATTGAGAATGCAGAAGGACAATGGAAAAAAAGAAAAATCTGTATATGTTTACATATTTTTCCTGTCTAAAGGGCTTTTCCTTCATGTTAGGCCATATTATGTGAGCTTCTCCTTTTATAACTTAACTATAGAATGTTGATCTCTTCACAACATTGCCCAATGGCATTTTGTGACTTTCTTATAGACTAAGATGGGCTATAATGAAAAGAAACACATGATTATATTACAAAACTCTTATATGTAGAAAAATGTCCATATATACATACACACATACACACACATATACAAATACATATACATATACATACACATATACATATACATATACATATACATATACATATACATATACATATACATATACATATACATATACATATACATATACATATACATATACATATACATATACATATACATATACATATACATATACATATACATATACATATACACACACATTTTATATATATATATATATATATATATATATATACACACACATATACTATATATCTATGTTTATATCTATCTATCTGCCTATCTAGTATGTAGTACCCAGTAGGGGACTGGGGCCAACATGAACCATATCTCAAAAGCTGATTGTTAAATTTTCATTGTGAGAATTCACAATTTGGAAATCAGCAAAATCTACATGTCAGGACTTGATTCATTGTTTTGTTGATTGTCTAGACTTGAAAGTGATTTTAAAAAAAGTTAATCATGCAGATTGAACATAAAAGTGTGGCACATGTACGTTTTCCCCCAGAGACTTGGTTATTAAACATTTACCAGAACATTCTTGTTGGTACCAAATTCCAACTATATTTTCTGTTTCATAAATTGTCATTTTTCAAAGTTTATGACAGAATTATGAATGACAAAAACTAACAATGGTACAAGCTTTAATTTTGTATATATGGAATGCAGCAGTTCTGTTTGGAAGAAAGTAATAATATGGTGACTGTTATTTTTTTGTAAAATGCCCTGGGTATATTTCAGTTGTTGCCTATAAGACCCAACCTAAACTGAGCAAAAAGAAAGTTTCTCAGCTTTCACACATTTCTACTTTAAAATTTCTTTGCAGAAATATTTACACCACAAAGTTCTCTCATTGATAATGTTTCACATGGAAGGTCAAGAGTGGCAACCATGCTACAACTCAGATATTAAAAATTCATCATATAAATTCAATCTTTTGTGTACGGATACACATACATAAAATGTGTAGGATATCCATATGAGGTAAATCATAATAATTAGTCCCTTTACCTAAATATTGAAAATGGGAATGATCAGTATGGCATACTCTT